TAGGCCTAGCTTTAGCGGGTGGCTTAGCAGGGCTACCAGCAACTGGAACTGGTGCTGCGTCGCGCCCGGGCTTCGGCTTTGGAACGGACCTCACCGATGTTGTGACCTTTGGCACACTTGTCGAGGCAGGCTGTGTAGGATGGTCCAAGCTCCGCAAGGAAGGCTGCCAACCTGATGGTGGACCAGGCGGCTCCTGCGACAGGCTGTTCCGATGCCTTTGCAACTCCTACTGTGCCTGCCGCGCCACCAGTGGGTGCTGGGGCTGCGGCCTTGCCTTTCGGCCGAGGTTGCTGTTATGGGCCTACGTACTGGTAGTACCTATCCCACTCTTCAACCCTAGGATGATCTGCCCCAAGAATTCTCTGGTTGATAATTCTTTTAGGAAGTAAATCGCCCTGTTCAATTACTTGATGGCCGTGTGCAACACCCCGACGCCTATCTAACCCGTTATGTAGGGACCACTCGCGATAAGAAGCAAAGACGTGAAAAGCTAGAGCCAAACAATTTGAAGTGGTAAGTTCTTCTACAAGTCTGTGGTGCAGAGAAATTATCCACCGTTGGTCTTCACTAGCCTGTTCGTAGGGAATCCTACGTAACCAAAATCCACTGCTTATACTTCCGGTTTTGATATGCCTCGAAATCGACCCACCACTCCCTTCGCGCTTCCTGCCTGCGTGTGGTGGCACCTCCTAGTTCTTGGGGCTTTAGATGGAGCAGATGGGGAATGACCTGCTTGGATAGGTTCAGTGCCAGGGCCAACGAGGTTGGGACTAGTTGGTGGTGGGACTAAATCGGATGTATCAACTGCTGTGGCTTCTGTCACGACACCGAAGGTGTCAGCGACCCCAGAATCAGGCACGGATTCAGATGGTTCGGATGCTTCGGCAGGTGGGCCTTCGGCTTCCACTTCTGCCTCAACAGTTCCTACTGGACCTGAACCTTCACCTAAGACTGGATGGTCTGTCTCAACCTCTGGATCGACCTGCTCAGATGGAGAAGACGGCTCACCTGCAAGACGGTCTTGACCTTCTTCCTTTACACGATCGAAATCTGTAAAAGCGGCTTCAGCTGGAATTTCACTGGGATCAGCTTTAACCGGGGCAAGATCCTGGTTTGCAGTGCCCGTCGCGACTTCGTCAGCGACCTCCTCTGGCACGCCAATCACAGAAAGAACGGCGCCCAATGAAGACGCCTCCTGAATCTGCTCCTGCTTTACTTCCAACAGATGTCCTTCGGCTCGATCTGTGTCGGCAGCTGCTTCCTCAAGAGACGGCTCGGGCGCAAGAATATCCTCAGACGCGTCTGCCCAGGAAGCGATGGGTTCGGTCACAGCCTCCACAGATTGGGGAACAGGCTGCTCTACCCTCTCTGCGTCCACCGTTTCCTCGCCCTCGCGCTGGTGCTTCAGTCGCGACAAGATTGTCAGCGACCTGGTCAGACGTGTCGGTGGGCATGCAAAGTGACGAGAAATGAACCGGGGCCTAAACCAAGCTGCGGAAGGAATAGTTACTCCAAAAAGAGAAAACAAGCCTTACGGCTGATAACTAGACAAAAGGGGGGAAAAACCGCCAGGTTCCTTCCACAACCCAATTAACATTACAACCAAGCGCACGCCTTTTGTGCACTTGAGCCATGAGCGTCAAACAGCGGGAGTTAAAACCCTACCCAGTAGTTGTTGGGACGGATAACTACAACCCTGAGATAAACTCTAAGCTATCTACATACCTAGCGCTTCTTAGTATGTGGTGCTACTACTGTACATTGGGTATTCTGAGTAACTACTTGGATTATCGGTATCATAGCTACGGCATGTCTACACTAGACCTACTACCTATGCTATACATAGTGGGGCTCAGGGGTCGATATATTTCAACTTATATATGTTGTATTAAATAAATATTGTTATATAGAGTGTATATGATTATATATATATGTATGCGTTTCCTTTCAACCAATGCTGAGAGATTTGTCCTGGTGAAATAAATGGGGCAGGGTGGTCGTCCACTTGTATGTTCAGTGAACAGGGATGCACCCCCCAAGTATCAGCAATCAACAATGATGACATGGCATTTTACCATATTGTACCTTGCTGACTGCCATATTTCACCATAGCGTACCCTGAAGGAATGGTGGTTTGACCTGTTGCTGTTGTTGTTGTTGTTGTTGTTGTTGTTGGTACTTTGAGGATAAGATAGATACAACCACTACCTAGTGCCAAAACCAGGAATATCCCCATCTATTCTGCTGTTATATGTGGTAACATGACTGTTTGATTTGGGGCCAAATGAGGTCAATGTCTCAGAGGCACGATTGCAAGTCTTGCATTTAACACGAGTTTGTCTGAAAATGGGATGCCCACAAACCCAAATTATGCACTTGAACTTATCCCACTATCATCCCACTAAATATTCCAATAAAAAGGTTGGTTTACCCGCTTGTTTCTTGTTTAGCTCCCATTAAATCACAATTTTTGTTGGTGAAATCCCATCAACTCACCATTCGCGTTGGTGAAATCTCATTGAATCCCATAAAATCAGAATGTCTGTTGATTAAAAAATCCAAGTGTATAAGTTCACATGTGACCCTGCCTGGTGAATTCTTCCGCAGTCACAATTTTCGCAATACTGGAGCCATTACTGTACAGGCTGTAGGCCTCGCGGCTGGGTTCAACCCCCGAGATATGGATCTGGGATGATCTGGGTATAAAAAATGAAGCAACCCCCAAGTTAAGATGCAGACATGTATGGTAAATGTATGTAAATGTCAATGTCTTTTTCATGCAGCGGTAAATTGAACCTTAAAATGAACCCTTTTGGGGGCTACTATAGTTTTTATCATCATTCCAAAAATTATCGAAAATATCAATACAATTCATCATTGTCATCATCGTCATCATCATCATCACCATCATCATATCCCATTAAATCACCACAAAAAAAAAGTTGCCCGTTTTTTACAACCACCGATACGGTGCCTGAAAGATGCTTTTACACGTGGTGTTCAGAATGAAGGTCACGTCTTCAGCTCGATCCAAACGCGAAATCTTTTCGAACTTGTCACAAATGCCGGCCACATAATTGGAAACTTTTCTTGGAGGCAAGGAAAATGGCGATCTTCAACGGGAAAAATGGTAGTTTAAGGGGATTTTCACTATGAAAAACGGTGATCTAATGGGAGTTAATCAACAAAAATTGTGATTTAAACAACCAAAATGCCGAAATGGTGATTTCACCAACAAAAATGGTGATTCCACTAACAAAAAAACGCCCTGTCACTGTATGTTGAAATATACATACGTAAATATATGCGTGTATAACTGAAAC